CTGTGGTCACCAAACTGCGCCCCTGGACCCCAGTTTCAAGCAAGAGCGGCTCCCGCCTGAGACTTCCTCACAAGTTCTGTCGATGTCGCGCTCTCGCGTGGGACGTCCCCATCATTTATACAGGAATCGCTCTCCCGCGTGGTGCTTCCTCAAAATGTATTGCGGCGCCGTGCCCCTTAAGACTCACACATCACCCTCTCGGTTTAGATGTCCACCCGATTTACCTGGGAATCGCGTCATCGCTCGAAGCTTCCTTCATCATGGTTTGGCGTTTTTGCGACCCGCCCGCTCGACATGACCGTCTGGGCCCGCCCGCCCGACCTGCCCGTTAGTGTCCGCCCGCCCGACACGCCAGGCTGGTTCTGCCGCTTGCGCTGCTGCTCCGAGCTATCCTCCTGCACATTTCGCGCGTGCTCAATACTTCTCCCTGCCCCTTGTCACTGCACTCCTTCCTTCCTTCCTTCCTTCCTTCCTTCTTCTGTTTTACGGGTTGCCCCAAGTACACGGGGCAGATATAACCCCAAAGGGGGGGGTACGATCGAAGACAAATAGGGCGGGTACCGAGGGTTCGGGATCTACATGTTGAGTGACACGCGAGTAGAACAGAACAAACAACATCGAACTCTCATTTTTGATATATAATGATTGTTGATCTCCCATTCTCTGACCGTTGTAATGCACCTCCCGGGGCTCGTACCCTGTTATATCGGGGAAGCTGTGGTGTCACCAAACTGTTTTGTTGTCCCAAGTTTAACGCAACAGCGGCTCTCGCCTTACACTTTCTCACACTTTGAAAAATCGCGCTCTCGCGCGGGACCTCCTTACAACGTATGCAGGAATCGTGCCCTCGCGTGGGACTCCCCCGTGATTGAATGCAAAGCCTCGCCATCGACACTCAGGAATCACGCTCTCGGTTGAGCTCCTCTCACGACTCACTGGGGTATCGCGCCATCGTCCAGGCCTTCCTCACCACTCATGCAGGACGCACACTTCAGCAACCCGTCTGCTCGACCTGGCCGCCTGGGCCCGCCTCCTCGACCCGCCCGCTAGGGTCTGCCCGGGGGCCAGCGACGGGGCCGAGGCAGCCGCGGCACCCGCTGCGGCGGCAGCGGCGGCGGCCGCAGCTGGCAGAGCGCGCGTGGCGGGAGGCGCGGCGCCGGCAGCCGCCGATGCCCACGGCGCGGAAGAGCCCAATGCAGGGCTCGGCGAGGGCCGCCGAGGAAATGTCGCCAAGGGGCCCCCATCTGGGGCGGCGCAGCCGCTGGGGCGGCGCAGCTGTTGGAGCCAGAGCAGCCCGAGCTCGGGACCGGAGCCCTCGGGCTCACCCCCCTCCCCAGGCGGCGGGGCATTGCAGCAGCCGCGGCGTTGGGCCCCACGGGACCGGCGTCAGGACGCCAGCGCATGGCACGGGCTTGGCGAGCCGGACTCGTCACAGCCAGGGACCCGCTCTCGCGGCAACCTCCAAGGCAGCAGACCCGCGCCAGCAGTTGCGGCCGGCGACGCCGCAACGACGTCGTCTGCAGGGGGCTGCCGCCCTTACCTGGCCGCTAGCGCCCGCAGCAGCGCCCAGCAGTGCCCCTTGCTGCTCTGGCAGCGACGGTTCCGGCTGTTCTGGCAGCGACGGCCTCGCCCTCGGCGCTGGCGGCCAACGCGGCAAGGTCCCGAGCAACTAGCTGCAGCTGGTGAGGCCCCCAGTGCGCAGCTTGTCGCAGAAGCTCTACACCAGGCGGGTTGGCAAGGCTTCGCCGCAGTGGGGCCGTCCGTCAGGACCAAGGCGATCCTCCTGCGGTAGGAGGTGCCCCGGGGTTGTGCGGCAGCGACGGTGAGCGGTCCTGGGGTTTCGAGAGCGACGGTGCGGCCGGTTGCGGAGCCGAGGGCGACGGCCCCTCCGGCGTCATCGACAGGCATCGAATCCAGCTCGGACGTGCTAGGGCTCTGACATGGCGCGCCTGAGCGTACGCACGGCGCAACCGCGGTGACCACGCCTCCGCGCCAGCACTCGGTACGCAGCGGGGCCCAGTTGGGCGCTGTTGGCCCGTGGCCGCCGGGCGTTCGCCCGACCGCTGCTGGGCGAACATCTCGGAGGACGACCTGCCCCCGGGCCTCCCTCACAGCGGCTGCGAGGCAGCCCGGTTCGCGAGGGCACCAGTGACGACCAGTGCCGCCGCGGCGGACGCGCTGGTTTCAGCCCCACCCGTGAGGGCGAAGGGCGACGGTGTGGAGGCCAGCGGGATCAGCGAGGGTCTGACCAGCACGGGGTGGGCGGCAGCGCGGGTGCTTGCGCCAGCGCTGCGGGTCGCCATTCGCGGCTTGGGCTTCCGCGAGGCCAGTGCCCGGATCGAGGAGGCCGCCTCGGCGATCCCCGATGCGAGGGGACGCTGGCGGGTCGCCGAACGGGTGCTGGAGGCGACTGGGCGGCCACGACGCGCGCGACGGTCGCCACCAGGCCGGCGCCGTCGCAATCGCCAGCCGTGGGTCCCCGGCTCCAGGGGCGACGGATACCGACGCCATGCGGCAGCTGCGCACGCTCCCAAGTGAGGAGCCGGCGCAGGAGCTCCAGGCGAGGGCCGAGGAGGCGCCCTGTGTGGACGCCCGAAATGGGCACGGAAGACTGGGCACAATGCCCAACGACAAATGTTGTCCCAAACCAACAGCGGCCGCTGTTGGGCAGGCGGCCTCCTGTCCCAAATGGACACACAGGCCGCGGCGGCGCGGACAGCGAGTCCTGTTCACAATGAACCAGAGCTGCTGTTGGGCTTTGTGCCCATCCTTTCCGTACCCATTTCGCTCGTGCAGACCCTGGGCCCTCCCGGAGCTGGCGGCGCAGGCGACGCAGCAGGCGGCAGCTTCGGCCGACCCCACCGCGGACGGGCCCGCGCCGCTGGGCCGGCGGGGCCCTCGAGGTGCAGCGGGGCTCGGGCTGCTCGGGCTCGCGGCTGGGAGCTGGCTGGCCAGGCCGCGGCGGCGGCGGCGGCGGCCGGGGCGCGGGGCTCGGGCTGGCGCGGCCCTCTGCGGGCCCGGGCGCGCGGCGCGTGCCCCTCGCCCCTCCCCTGCCACGCATGAGGTTCGATTGCGACGCGTCGGTCTGGCAGTGTGTGTGTGTGCTACTCGTCGGTTCGAGCCGTTCACCATCGGAGCGTCTGTGTTCGGACCCCGGGTGGGCGGAGCCCAGGCGGCAGTCCAGGGTGGATTGGCGGCGCTCGAGCTCGCGGCTCAGTGTTTGGCAGGCCGTTCGCCACGGCCGCCCACCGCGCTCTGGCCCTGCGCGCCTGGCTGCTGCTGCCCCCCCCCCCCCGGGCGGCTCTTCGTCGAACTCTTCGGCGTCTGAGCGTCCCTGTTCCCTCTCGGCCGTCCCCCCCTTCTCCCTCTGGGTTCGCCCGCCAATTCGCTAGTTGGCGCCCCTATCTAGCTAATCTAGCTTCTCGCTGGAGCGGAGTTCGCCGCCTCGCCGCTGACGAAAAAGTTCGGCAGGCCGTGTGATCTTCGTGACAGGCTGCGCGAAAGTCTGGCGAGGATGACGGGAGCCCCGTCGTGCGCGTGCCTCCCCTGTCGGTGGTCTCTTCGCCGTCGTTTCCCTGCTTCGCCACTGGGCTCCTCCTGCGCGTGTGAAAATATGTAGCGGTCAAGTGGTCATCAATCTTGAATTGGCGGCGAGCGAGGGGGGGAAGTGAGAAGGAGAAGGCCTTCTCGGAAGGCGGCGGGACTTCTCAGAAGCCCTCGCGCCTTCTGAAAGGTTTTTTTTCTGTTTTCGGAGACGGCTAAGACAACTTCTCAGAAGGCCGGGGAACTTCTGAGACTTCTGAGAAGGGCCGCCCCTGCTCAATGCCCACCCTCGATCGCCGCCGATCCTGCGCTTGGGAAAAAATGTAGCGGTCAAGTGGTCCTCAACCTCGAAGCAGCACGGCCGTGCGGGCGGAGGCCGCAGTCAAACAGGCAAGAGCCGCCACGAGTGAGGGACTACGACGCAGGAGGACTGGGAAGTGGATCGGCTACGACACGCAAGAGTGTCCTAGGCATGAGTGGCCGTTGGTGCGCAGCGTGCCCGTCGCTGCGTGCGATGCGACGGCAGCGGCCTGCACCGGGCATGAAGCCCCCCGCGCGCCCCCCGCGGGGCGCGCGCCGAAGGTCACTCCGGCCAAGCGTTGCTCTTGCGAGGTGGGGATTCATCAGTCACCACCGCCTCGGGGATCGACCTTCGAGGACCTCGGCAGGCAGTGGATACACACATGTTGCCCACCTCGAGGTCCCGAGTACGTCGCACCCCGCACTTGCGGTTAAGAGTGAGTGGGTGGCTGCGCGGGCAAACCGTCCCAGAGTATAGCCACCAAGCGTAGCCTCCACATGTCACGTGTAGCCACCATGTGTAACCATGTGGCCCGCAAGGGTCAGCCCCCGTGCGTAGCCCCCATGTCAAGCCCCAAGAGTATCCCCCATGTGTAGCCCCAAATGTGGCCCCCTTGCGTGTAGCCCCCTGTGTGTAGCCCCCAGAGGCTGGGCCCTCCATCCAACCGCGCGCGGGCAGGGAGAAAGCAAGACCGTTCGGCCCCCCCAGGACCCTGACATCCACATCCACCGCCTGCCGAGGCCCCCAGAGACCGATCCCCCAACGCACAGACCCCCACCTCCGAACTCTGGCGTGTGGCCGAGCAGCGGCGGGGCCAGACCTCCTCTCCTCCTCCTCCTCCTCTTCCTCCTCCTCCTCCTCCTCCTCCTCCTCCTCCTCCTCCTCCTCCTCCTCCTCCTCCTCCTCCTCCTCCTCCTCCTCCTCCCCTCCTCCCCCTCCTCCTCCTCCTCCTCCTCCTCCTCCCTCCTCCTCCTCCCTTCTCCTCCTCCCCTCTCCGGGAGCAGCCTCGCGTCCCGCAGCACTGCTTGATGGCCCCGGGGGGGCCCCGCGGGCGGGCCCCGGAGGCCAAGATGGAGGACCAGGCGCCCCGATTGGACAGGCCGCGTATCGTCGGAGATCCTCTGTGTGGGGGCGCGCGCGCGCGCCCGCCGCGGGCCTGTCCGGCGCCACGTCCCGCGTGCCGAAGCGCGACGCGCAGCCCCCCGTCAGGTCCACCAGCGCCTCCTCGACGTGCCCGCCCCCTTCGCGCAAGGGGCGGAGCGGGGCCGCGGGCGGGCCGACGGGCGGCGGCCGCGGGTCGCGACGGCGGCGATCGCGGCAGCGGCGGGAGGCGACGTCGACGACAGCACGGCAGCGGTCAGGGCAGCAACGACCTCGCCCACCACCACGACGACGACGACGACTCATACGACGACGACGAAGACGACGACGACGACGACGACCAAGACGACGACGACCAAGACGACGTTCAGGACCACGACCACGACCACGACCGCGACTTAGACGACGCGACGACGCGACGACGACGACGACGACGACGACGACGACGACGACGACGACGACGACGGGTTAGCGGCGGCGACGACCACGGCTGAGACTGCGACGACGAAGGCGGCGACTGCGACGACGACGGGCAGTCCCA